TAGAGCACCTGCCTAGAATCCCCCAGTGAGGGGCTGGGGTGTGGCTCAGTGGTAGAGCACCTGCCTAGAATCCCCCAGTGAGGGGCTGGGGTGTGGCTCAGTGGTAGAGCACCTGCCTAGAATCCCCCAGTGAGGGGTTGAGATGTGGTTCAGTGATAGAGCACTTGCCTAGCATGCACAAGATCTTGGCTTTCATATCTAGTATATCTAGTATCCTCCCTTTTGCAGGCCAAGAGTTGGAAAGTAAAGGAGCAATTCGATCCCAACTAGTCCCCAAGTGGCTCCAAGTTGTGAACCTGGTGATCATAAAAGTCAACAAGAGGCCACCTAGTTGTCCCCCAAGGAAGAGGCAGCTGTTTACTGCCTTGCTATAATCACACAAGTGACCACCTCCAGTCTACTAGCCATCTGCTCACCAGGTATGAATGGCAGACAAGAAATCCCACACCCTTCTTCTCAAAGAATCCATATAACTAATCCCACTAGCCTCTAGATCCCCATTGGTCCTTAAGATAGCAGGTGTTTGGCAATGCCCAGTTATTAGTGTGGCCAATGAGGCGAGGGGTGGCTAAGGTACCAGGTGGGCTCTGGAGGCCCTCCACAGACTGTCCCTGCTACCCTAGCAACACTGTAGGGTACCTTGACCCCAGACTCAGATCTGGAGGGACCTGGGGGTCAGGATCTACAGGGCAGAGGAGACCCAGACCAGCCAGCAGGAGTGGACCACACCGGTACCCCATGAGACACAAGGAACCTGTATACCCACACTTCCCAACACACCCCAGAGGAATCCCATGGGTCTCAGCAGACTCCCTACAAGTGACAAAAGAAAAGAATCAATTAACAGGGAGCCAGTCCAGGTCCTTCCCTGTCCCCAGGGCCCAAGACCAGCAGGCAGAAGCAAATGTACCCCCAAGAGCCCCTCTGCAAATGAATCCCTTAAACAGAGAAGCTCCAGGCCCCAAGCCAGGCCTTCTCTTCTAGACACTTAGGCTTGGCTGCTCCATATCTCTCACCCATAGCCCTTAGAGACAGTTCTCCAAGCGAAGCTGGGTAGATGGGTGAGGGAAAGGCCTTAGTCCCTTATTTAGCTTACAACCAGTTCCCCTCCAGCTCAGTCGGGATTGGACTAGGGATTCTACAGCCCTAACCAGAAGGCTGAGACTAACCTCAGGTACATCCCCTGCCAGTCAATTAGGAGTAGTAAAATCCACCTTCTTACTGGTAACTAAATCTCAGAGAGGGGAATTCGTATGCCCAGGGTCACACAGGAAGCAATAGCCAGACAGTAAGTAATCAGCACCCTTAACTGAGCTGAGACTGAGTGGATCACACCTGCAACCCCACCCCACAAAGAGAAAAGAATAGGCCACGTCCTTGGAGAATCACAATCACCCCAAAATGAAGCCCAGGTGGAACCCTAGAGGGTCACAAGTAGGGGTGTCTGCCAGCAGCGCACCCAGCACACCCCAGGCTGTACCCAGCTCTGTAGCCAGAGCCCAGGAGCACACTAGAGCTCACATTAGGTACTGGAAATTAAGCTTGGCCACATTTTCCAGCAAGGCCTCCTGGCAGACAGGCCCTGACAAGACTGGGCACTTAAGGAATTTATGATGTTCCCCTCCTGGAAACCCTTGGCCCAGGCACAAGACTGCAGAGGGGCAGGCGGGAGACACTCTATAGGGGAGGAGGGTGGGCTCCATGGGGAGGACAAGAGGCCAGCACAGGCTTTGTTTGGTGGAGGAGGGATGAGTGGCTGACAGTGCCTGAGGCCATGGAATTAGTAGGGCGCATTCACAGCTCAACTGGGGACCTATTCCCTTCCAGCCTCTGCACACTCTCCCGCAGCTCACCAATACTTCTCTTCCTCCGAATGGGCACAGGCCGCTTCTCGGGTGCATGCTTGGTAGCATGGGACCCATGGACTCTCAGGCTTGTCTCCAAGGCATCATCGGCCCCTACAGGTAAAAAAGAGGAAATAGTGACCAGCATCCACACCTGTGTGCCCTGCCCCTGGGACCTAAGCAGCTTTGGCTTACAGAGCTGCCTGAGGACAAAGCACAGTGGCTCGGGCCCCCAACCCCAGACCCTCTGTTTTCACACAGGTTGGCAGACGTGCTCGACCAACCAAGCCCAAAATATCTTGTCAGGAAGGAGTTCTCCCAAATGCAGCTATCCTGGGGTAAATCTGAGGCCTTTGGGGAAGGCATGTAGGTGCTCTCTCCTCTATGACACGACCTTCAGTGAGGCCCAGGGGAGAGCTGCACCAGCTCAGGAAGGTCTACCCCGCTGGGGTGGTACCACTACCCAGCTGAACCAAAGAGGGGAAGGACAGCTGCCTTCCCTGCTGTTGTGTGTGCAGCACCTCCCTCTCATAAAGCAGGCCTTGATGAAGTGTCCTAACCTCTAAGGGGCATCGCGAGCAATGCCAGACTGGGCTGCAAGCCAGCCTCCACTTGTTCCTGAAGTAAGACTGCTCTGAGGGCCAGAGGCCATGAGAAATGACAAAGGGGTGCGGCCACTTGAGGAGGAAGGGAGGAGTGGCCACAGGCCTGGAGCTGGAGTCCTGGGGGCCTGGTGAAAAAGGCCCAGAGGTGTGCAGAAGGGACAGGAAGAAAGGCCCCAGTGCCTGCTGGAGTTTTCATTATGTAATGAGGGCTACCAGGTGTCCAGCAAGGAGACAGTTGCCTATACCTACATAGCAGAGGACAGAGTATAGACAAGCCTGGAGAGCCTAGTCCCATGGACACACTAGCCCATGCAGAGGGAGAGACTGCCCACACAGTCTGAGAACTCTGCAATTCCTGGGAAGAGGAGGGCACAGAGTCCTGCCACCTGCCATGCAGACTGACTAGCCCCGAATATAATCTATACCTGGTTTTCCCAACCTAGACTGTGCAGACTCAGAGGGAAGTCCCCTCCATCTCACTCTCTAATTCTTCCCCTTGGGGACACATTCCCCCAGGGACACTCCTACAACTTCCCTAGGTCCCAGCGTTTAGTGATGTCTGCCCACTTGCCCAAATCTAGGGTCTTCCTGGCAGGGGATACACAGCCCACCAGGCATCACACCATCCACAAGCCAATCAGAGATGCGTGACCACACGGCCTCCTCCACTGGGAGACGTCTGGTACCCACGCATTTCAAAAGCAAAAACTCACCTAAGGTGTGAATGTCAATGATGAATCTGAACTGAGCCCAGAAACTACTTAAAATGACTCAATGTTCCAATGGCATGGGTTTTTTTTTTTTTTCTGAGACCCAAAATAAGATCAGAACTGCTCATGCAGTAAAAATTTCCCGTCAACCAACTGTTACAAGAAGCATTTTTTTTTTTTTCACAAAAAAGTGACATGATGAGTCACGTCCTAGTGGTGACCATCCTGCGATCACTCTAACAAGGGATGGACCGGCCATCCATTTACAGGACCTGGGACAGTTAGTGGTCCTCCAATGCCTTGCCTGACTCAGCCTACACAGTAGGTGTCATTGGTTTTGCCTAAGCAAAGACACTGGAGTCCTGAAGGCAACATAAGCCTGAAAAACCAGCACTCAGGAAGTGGAGGCAGGAAGATCACGAGTCCAAGGTCATCCTCAGATACAAAGCAACAACCTGGGGTACATAAGATCCAGTCTCAAAAAAAATAAAAACGAAAGAGGACTAATTAACAGCTGTGACCCTCCAGGACCAGTACCCGGGTATACTCAATATCCTGCCCCCAGACCTCCCAGCTGAGCTTAAAGCAGACAGAATCTCAACCATAGATTGGCCATAGTTCCTGGACAGACAGGCCCACCCTCTGCCCCCAGATCAAGATAGGTGGTCATGAGCCAGGTCTGGAATCATGGAACTGGGAAGGCTGAGGCAAAAGAATCTCAAGTTCAAAGTTACTAAGTTACTTGGGCAATTAAGCAAGGCTGTGTCTCAAAAAAACACAAAAAATAGTGGCTGGGGCTGTAGCTTAGCTGGTAGAGGTAGGGCGCACAAGAGAGAGATCCTAGATTCCATTCCCAGCACTGCATTAACTGGCTGTGGTATTGTATGACTATAATCCCAGCCCTACAGCATACACAGGATATCCTCAGCAACATAGAGTTCAAGGCCAGCCTGGGCTACATGAGACTCTATCATTAAAAAAAAAAAAGTTTAAGGTGGTCACAGCCCAGAGTTGACCCACCATAGCTGATTTATGGTAGGTGAGAAGTTTTGCAGGAACTTGGGGATCCTGATATAGCAGAGCCCAGCATGAATCAGCTAATCAAGTGGTCTCCCTTTGTCCTATGCAGATATCCAAATGACAGTGTCTGACAACTGGAGGAAGGGCAGACAGCCCTCTAGCCCTGCCCTGGCTACAGCGTTGTGAGTGGCCTGGGATAGGGATGTTTATGTATCAGTTACTCAATGACCCATGGGCGCTTGGCCAGTGGCTCTTGAGAACAAAGCTCAAAGTACGCGCACACACACACACACACACACACACACATGCACACACGGGCCCTAGACTCCTGAGCTGTAGCTCACAGCAAAGCCACATGCCAATCTCTAAACCCAAAAGCCACAGTGAAAGGCCACTTAGACATCCTCAACTCCACCACGGAATGCTCTGGGCTCAGGGACATTCTTGGCACTGTACCCGGAATCCAGCCACCTCTGGAGCTGGGCCACACAAAGCTGCAAGGTTGAAAGCTGTGTTCCCGGGTTTCCCCATCTGTAAAATGGGGATCCTGCCAGCCCCCTGGACAGCCATGTGCCAATCACAAAGCTCCACCCACTTCACCAAGGAGTTGGCTGGAGAGACGGGGATACCCTAAAGCCTTTCTCTGCTCCCTGCAACCCAGACAGCAGGAAGAGGCCACCCTTGGTACATCCCAGTATGTGACAAACTGGGTTTCTCTGCGTACCCTGGGTCCTACCTTGCCTTTCCCAAGTATGGTTGGTCACTGGGTAAAGGAAGCTGACTCCTGAACTGACAACCACAGCTATGTGTAACCTTTCCCAGCAGCCACAGGGCTCTTTACTAGGGGGTATGGAATAGGGATGGGAATTGGGGGGGGGGGGGTGGCAATCAGCCATTCTTATCTACAGACCAAGACTCCAAGAAGACTCCAGGTAGTTCCCTAAATGGGGCAGGGGGGTGGTCCAGTAGGGACACTCCACTTTGGGTGTCAAAAAGGGTCCCCAACCACACATACACCCACCTCCATCAAGACTAGGCAGCTAGCTAGGAGGGCAGCAGAAATCCACATCCATACTTAGTTCTCAAGAAGCCTCCCATTTAGACCCAGAATGTCTGACAGGTGGAGTGAGAGGGATGATTCCCTAGTCCCTACTGAAAGGCAAACAGAAAAAACAAAACAGTCGTACAGAGGCAATTTGAAACTTCCAGGGGCTGGACCTGCTTTTTCTCTTAGGAACCTCTGAGGAGGCTCCCACCCAGAAGTCTCCCACCCCATTCCCCAGGTTTAGGTAGTCAGCTAAACCTCACAGAATCACATGGCTAAACAATTTAATGGTGGGGGGTGGGGGAGGTGTAGCTGCAAAAAACAGCATAAGAATGGGCCCACCAGACAGTGAATAGGCCCGTTTGAGGGGGGCATCCCACAGCATGAGGCCCAGACCTGGTTCAGGCAGGGTACCAAAGGCCTGGGACCCAGTATGCAAAGCAACCTACCCATCTCCAAAGCTTTCAGGGACTGGCAAAAACACGGGATTATTTCCTCAGTGACCCATGCCAAGTCTTCCACTCCAGGCTTGCACATCAAGGGACCAGATCAAAACTCACAGCCCCAACTCTTGATCCCCAAGTGAAACCTTACTCCTGCCACTCCTGATAAGGATCAGGCCAAGGATTTCCTGGGTCAAGAAACTACTGAAACGGGCCGCCTTGTTAAAAATGGTTTTGGCACGGAACGAAAACAGTTCAGGCCTCTCCACAACCATAATTAGGTACAAATTTACAAATGGCTAGACCATGTGATTTTACTTAATTCCCTCACCACCCTCTTACGGAGAAGTCCGAAAGGAGGGAAAAATCTTCACTTTACTCTTAACAAACTCATCTCGGGCCTGGTTTTCAAGCCGGTACATTTTCTCCCAGTGCGTCACTGAAGTTCCCAGGCCAAGTGTTCATTTTGAAACGGTCGCCACACAGCCTGCCTTGTCCTCCAGCACCGAGCGGGTCCCCACAGACACACCTTTATTTTGCCCCTACCGACCAGAGTCTAATCTAACCTTGCATTTACAAATTGTTTACTAAAGTTGCTCAGTTCCAATGAAAGCCTGGGAGCCCCCCAAAATAGCCCCAAGCGTGTGTCTCTTGCGGCAACGCCTTTTTACTGGAAGAAAGAAAAATACTGGCACTCTGCAGCCACAGGGACCCGGCACCGGGCGATCAAGGCACCGGCGCGCACGGTTTACAAAGGGGCTCTGACTGACCCTCTCCTGGAGCGCCCAGGGGGGCCTGGCCAGGCGGACAACCGGCCGGAGCTGCGCGCCCTGCAGCTGACTCCTGAGCTCCAGGGCCAGAGGCGGACTCTGGGCCCGCACACCTGGCAGGGTCTCCCGCGCGTTCTAAGAGCTGAACTTTCAGTGACTCACACTCGGCGTTTTCCTTAAATGCAAAAACAACCCCCGGGCGAGTGAAGCAGCCGCTGGGAGAGAAAGTGGCGACTGCAAGAAAAAAGCCTGACTCCTACGCCTGGGTGTTTATGGCCGGCGAGTGGATTCTGACCTTTCGGTGCGCTTCTGCGCAGCGCCCGGCCCGCCGCCCGCATCCTCCCTCTGGCCAAGGGCAGGGGCGCGATTTACCTACGGAGTCTATCTCCAAGAGTCGCTGGAGGTCCCGGATGCTGTGGATCTGACTTCGAGCCAGCCGCTCGATCAGCTCACGGGGGATCTCGGCTTCCTGCAAGCAGACCACAAGCTCAACACGCGTCCGACCGGGTTCCAGCCCCGGCCCCGGGGAACCACGCAGCCCCGCCCGATCCCCCGCCAGGCCCTAAAACCAGAGGCTGGGGTAGACCTGGCTGGGCACCTTCAAGTCCTCCGCCCCATTCCTGTCTGATCTTGGTAAAAACAGACCCCAACAACCGCCTTGACATGTCCGGACAAAAAACCACCCGCACTCCAGCTCTGCCCTGGGTGTCCAGGGACAGCCAGAGGCAGAAGGGTTCTGGTTAAACAGTGAAACAAGTAGAAAGAGACGGTGGAAAAGCGTCACGGGTCGACAACTAGAATCCCCGGAGTCTCGATACTTTAGCCTGAGGCTTAAATTTCACTCCTGAGAATCCTGGGCTGAGCCCGCAAGGGAAAGGGTCTCTGCGCGCCCCACACGCACGCGCGCGCGCGCCCCACCCGGCTCCCGCCCAGCCGCGGCCCTAGCGCCGACTAGGACGCCCAAATCCAGCCGGGTTAGGAGGCTGCGGGAAAGGCAAACGGTTAAAAATCCACCTCGCGCCTCTCCAGTCCCAGCCGAGACCACCCCCACCGCTCAGCCTCCCCCACTCTCCCTTCTGGTTTTTTTTTTTTTTTTTTTTTTTTATGGGAGTCAGGGTCGCTGGGGGACTCAACCACGAAGTTCCCACGACAGGAGCTGGGGAAAGTCATTCATCACCGCAAAGCTCTAGGGGACTCGGGAGGGGGGGGGACGCCGGCGGTGGGAGGGCGCGGGCGCCAGGCCCGGCCACAGCTGCCTCGCTCAGCCACCTGTAAGCAGGCCCGGAGCAGGCGGAGACTGCTCCGGCCCTGTGTCCCACTGGCCTTGGGGACCGGGAACTGGGGGCTGCGGCTGGGCGCTGCCCACCCTGCCCATTCCCGGGCTTCCGCCGCACCCTCCTCTACCTGCTTACAGCCCGCCCTTCTCCCCTCCCAGGACTCCGCCAGTTCACACACACCCCCTTCGCTGGTGCCTGCACCCCGTTACTGCACTGCCCGCTGCGCCCAGGCTACCCCTCCTGAAAAGGTACCCACAGCCCCCCGAAGTTTCTCCCCACTGGTTCACCTCGCTGTTCCCTCGTCCCTCTCCTAGGCTAAGCGACGCAACGCGCTGGAAACTCACCAGACACACTTGGGCACGGCAGAAAATAGAGCCCAGTTGGGAAATTAAATTTAAAAAAAAAAATTCCACCACCCTGGCAAAATCGCAATGGTCTCTGCAGAGCCTGAAGCAGGTAGCTGAGGGGGGCGTGCGCCCGGGGAATCCGAGAGGGAACAGGGGCGCGGGGGTGGCACGCACCTCGGCCAGGGCATGGGCGAGGTATCCGCAGCCGAGCAGCAGCAGGCAAGCCCAGGTCCTCATCGCGTCCCGAGGCGCTGGAGGCTCGGCAGGGAGGCGAGGCCGCGGGGCGGGCGCTCCAGCCGGGCTCCTGTGGCGGCGAAATTCAGTACCATCCCTCAGGGAGCGCGGCCCGGAGGGTGGCGCGGAGAGCAGGGAGCCTGCGGAGCGCGCCGGGCGCGAGCAGCGAGTGCAGAGCCAGCGAGGAGGAGGAGGAGGAGAAGAAGGAGGAGGAGGAGGAGGAGGAGGAGAAGGAGGAGGAGGAACCGAGTCGCGCCGGGAGCCTCCTGGGCCGCCGGGTAGGGGGTGGGGACGGAAGGGGCGGAGGGCGGGGGCTGGGCTTCTTCCTTGGTGCGTTCCCGGTGCTGGCCGCCGCCGTGCTCGCTCCCCGGCGCTGGCTTTAGGAGCGATCCGGCCGGTAAATCCGCATATTTGCTGCGGTCAGCCCCGGGAGGGGACCTCGGAGCGCGGATGCAGCTGCTGCCGCACCACCGATCACCTGTCCCGGGCCGCCCAGCGGCAGACTCTCTCCTCCCCGAGAGCTGCGGCCAGCCCCGAGCGCTTGTATCCCGGCCTTCCTCTCGCTGCTGCGCCCGGGCCGGGCACAGCGCGCGGCCGGTAAATCCGCATATTTGCTGCGGTCAGCCCCGGGAGGGGACCTCGGAGCGCGGATGCAGCTGCTGCCGCACCACCGATCACCTGTCCCGGGCCGCCCAGCGGCAGACTCTCTCCTCCCCGAGAGCTGCGGCCAGCCCCGAGCGCTTGTATCCCGGCCTTCCTCTCGCTGCTGCGCCCGGGCCGGGCACAGCGCGGCCCAGCACGGCGTGGGCCCGGCGGCCTGCGTGCG